CTTTTGGCTCCAGTCTCTTTCTGTGAAAAACCAAATATGCCAATTTGCAACCCTTCGAAAAGGGACAGAGGGTCTTGCTCAGAACACACATGATTCCCACATTGTCTTAACCCTCCCCATTAAATCGTTGGGAGTGGATGATCCTTGTTTAAGAAAAAATCTGGTAATGTTAGTTTTATTTAAAACAGGACCAGTGGCATAACTGTTGTCATGGCGACAGCATGACGGGTGTCATTTTGTTTCTTTTGTGATGTACATTTCTGGTGCCAAGTTTAAAGAACACTGCTTTAATATTTCTAGAGATATTCTTGATTGAGGGTTGAGCTGTTTTAGTGGAACCACCTATGACGTCATCACTTACAATACAAAAACGTGAATATCTCTAAAATGAAAAAAGATATTCCAAAAAGGAAAACGCCATTCTTCTTTACTTTGAAAAACCTTTCAAATCAGCAGCAATTATCTTTTACTTCATAGGCACTTTAAGTTAGCCATTATTTAAAACTCAACGGCAATCTTTTTTTTTTTTAATATTCTTCTTTTGGTCTATTGTGTCACTGAGGAGGAGAAGATGCAGTGTCCTAATGGTTAGTGTGCTAGACTTAGGATCGAGCAGTCAGGGTTCAAGCCCTGGCTGGGGCCATTGCATGAGCAAGACAATTCACTCTCATAGCGCTGTATGAATGAAGCTAAACCGGGACAGGTGAATACAAAGTTTGGAGGTAACACTCTGATGGACAAACATATCATACAGGGGAAAATAGAAAAATTTGTAGTCGCTTGACACACTTCAGAAACTGGGATAATCTCTAATGGTATAGACCACTCTGATGGTATAGACCACTTAGCCCTTTACAGACTTCATCTTTTTCATCTGTGAGGCAACAATCAAGGATCAGGTAATAGTAAAGGGAAATTAGCACCTATTCATTGTTAGGGATATTTACAGGGTTAATTTTCAACTCACCATTCAATGGAGGCTTCCTGGAGTGGATCTTGCAGGGGACGCTACAGATGATTTGCTGATGTGGTAACAATTGACAATCTTTTGATCTCGTATCCCTTTGTAATAACTCTGAGTGTTTACTAGTACTGTTCATAATAGAATCAGTGTGTTGAACATTTTCTGCAATTTTCAAATCTGTGGCAGTGACTCTAAGACATTTGCTCTCATACAGTTCCAGAACGTCTTGTTCATCATGTTCTTTTTGCATGACAACGTCACTCAAACTTTCCATGTCATCTGAAAGATCCACTTTATTTTTATGATATCGTTCACAGCAACTTAGAAAGTCATTTCTTGGACTCTGAAGTGGCACAGTTTGGAGGAAATTATCTAGATGTTCATATTCATGATCACTGCATGCTGCACAGTTTAAACCAGTTGTTGGTTTTAAGGATGATAATGATGTCCGCTCCTGCGGCATTGTAGTAGCTACATTTTTGTCACTGATGTAACATGTCATGCTAACCTCATCATCATCATCATCACATTCATTCATCTTTTTTCTTTTCTGTCGCAGTGATAAAACATTTGATTTATTTTCATGAGGAGTAAATTTTGACCTCTCCTTAGCAGGTTCATTGCTTTTGCTTACACTTAAACCAAACATCCCTGGAGCATCCTTCTTTGCTATGAATCGTCCTAGCAACAGTGGCTCATAAGGTTTTTTATGTGGTGAATCTAGATCAGTCACCAATTCTCCTTTCCTTGTAACCTTGACCCAATACCACTCTGCCACTAGCTCAACTGACCAATGAGGAAAGAGCTCTGTCTTTGTAAACCTCAAGTACTTCTGTTTATTGGTAACCCAGATCCCCACCAAAGCTCCAGGAGCAAGAAGATCAGGGACTGGGAGAGATTTAATCTGCCACAATGACATGAAGGAATACCTTGAGAACAAAAAAGGTAAAAGAATGAAAATTAAATTTATTAAACATAAAGTAAGATAAATAATCCAAAGGAAATGCCACCCAAATTTTCTGAAATCATGATCATATGAAAAAAAATGAGTTCAGTATTGACTGAGTGGAAGGGTCAAATTAAAAAATACATTAGGCACTGGATCATGCAAGATGGACAAAGTCCACAAAGGAGCATGCAAAATGACAGAAGGCCAAAATATATTTTCTGAGTCAAACCATGATCAGTCAAAACGTTTAATCATACCACACTAATACATGTAGAGCTTAATTTTGTCTGAAAATTGTGCAAATATCTTGGGGAACATTCTGAATTGAATGCATTGAATGAATTATTTATGTGTGAAGGTCAGATGGCAATTTTTTGGACCGGTTCATGTCAACCTAACCCATCCCACACTACATATGTAGCACTGTTTAAAACCTTAAATGATTTCTGCTGATCCAAAAGTTTCCAGGTTAGGCCTTCCATTTTGAGAGGTTAACCCAACAATTCACCAGTAAACCTGATGTACCAAGTTAGAGAAAGACACCTTAAGAACAAAGCGTATTGTCAAAATGATAGTAGACAAGGACAACAAAGTAATTAGGTCAGTGTTCCTCAAATGTGTCTTTGATAGGTGATGCCTATATATGTGCCACCTAAACTCAACCATAACTGGCACGTGCAAAAGAAAGGACAGAGGACCATACTTTGTGCAAGAGGGGTACTTGGCATTTTGCATTATAATTCTGCACAATTAAAAGCCTTCTTACTTTGATCCACGTTTTGCAGACTTGTTGAACCAGGGGGGATCCAACACTAACAAGTTATAAAGTCCATTATGCTGGGCTGTGGGTGATTCAAGGAACAATCTTCTGTCAGTATTTCACAAAGTTACCGAAAGACAAACTTGTAAAAAGGTTTATTCAGATACTGTACATTTTGTTACAAAAAAAACTGTACATCTGAACGACATAGTTATGGAAAGTCATGGCAGGAAAAAACCCAGGTCCAATTGCCCGGGCCAAGTAAATTTCGCTCTTGGGCAAGTGAATTTATAGAACTTCAGTGGCGCCGTAGGCAAGTGAAATTAGCTTTAGTAGTCTTGTGGGTCTGAATAAAAATGTCAGCTTGATAAATAATAATTTCCAGTCAGAAGGTATTTCGAAAAAGACTGCAAGATTAGTTAACCATTGAGTTGAAAGCATGGATTAGTTAGGAATCCAAGCTTTGTTTGTGTTTGTCCTCTGATTGCCATACTGGCTGCCATGTCGGCAAGAAATATTTAAGTGGGGGCAACTGAAAACTGAAATTTACTGGCCCAGTAGATTTTAATTTTTTTTTTCCTGCCATGCTGAAAGGAAAATTGAAAGGAACCAGGAACCAGACCAAGTGATTATTACTGAGCATAGAAAGTAATAAAATTCACATACCATGATTAATAAGAGGTTTTAAGTTACTTGCATTCGACATCAAGAAGCTACAATTAGCAGGTAAAATGTACTTGTCTCCAGAGATATTTAGCTCTGCTGGATTATCGCATGGGTAAGAAATCATTTGGTCCAATAAATCTCTTTCACTAACAGCAATATTTTCACCTGAGAGAAATGGCAACAATGTTTAATTCTTGTTTTAAAAGCAATTAATAGGTAATATCCAAAACTGAGTTCAGTCTTTACATCTTCCTTTCAATCATGTACAAAATGCATAGGATGCTAGCTGAGACTCTTCTTTTTTAAGTGGACTTAATTTTTATTCAAAAAACTTTTTTGTGTTTTTGGGGGGATAATTCATTTATTAGGAGGAATTTTTATTCAAAAATTGATTGGCCAAAATATCTTTCATGCCCTTTTTTTGGAGCAAATATACATAAGAATACTGTTTGGTAAACCCTTGTTGTTGTAATTTTATGAATCATGAAACAGCAAGCTCTACTGGACATAATTCAGACCACTAAAACGTGTAACTTATACCAGTCCTGCACTAATACAGTTGTCAAAGAAAAAATATTCAAATGTACTCTGTGATAAGAATCCAATAATGTACGATAAAAGTCCCCAATAACATATAAATGCAAAGCAATTATAATTCCACAGGCTTATATACATTCAATAGAGAGACCCTTCTAAAGGAAGGGGGGTAGCATGTCTGCCATCTGTAGTTCAAACCTTTTTAGGAAGGTCCTCACACCACTATTAGAATTTCAACCTGAGTTACGTTGTTATTCATCATTTTATCAGTCAGCATGTCACTGTTTGGATGCCGTGAACCTCAGTAGAAGGCTGTGGATTGGAGCTATTTTCCAAGGGCTTTGTGCTCATGAGATTATTTTGGTTTGAAGGCCTATTTTAATTCTGGAATTCTAAATTTTATTATTTATTTACAACCTTTAATAATAAGAGGTTCCAAAAAATGTTTGGATTCCAATCTGGTACAACTTGACACATCAGCCAATAATCCAGCAAAGTCCTTCCTGTCCTCTGGCATAGCTGAAAAAGTGAAAATAATGGTACTGTGTCTAATAGTAACAACAATTTTTAATTAAGTTAGTATATAGTACCATTATACGGCATGGAGATAAAATTACTTGAAGTCTGATGTGGATTCCATGGTTCCCACTAACATTCTGTGGTTGTTGTAACCTTGAAGCTGGGGTTCGTACATTTTTTCTGTTATTACTTGGTACTGCTGAATACCACTACTGATATTTTAGCAATTGTATTTTGGTGTGAGTAAATACTTTTTTTTTGTCTCCAAAAGTGATGAGAGGTGGTTGTTTTCCCTGACTAATTGAATCTTTCAGTCGTATCGGAATACTTTGTCCTATTTTCCCTGAATTTGTAACATTTCTGAATTAAGCTTGATCTACTCAGTTAATTCTGATTATTTACCTGAAATTGCAGTATTTTGTCGAACATGCTCGCTTCCGGAGAGAAAATAATTTTTATCCACTCCAATCTGAACAAGCCTCTCTACTCCTGCTGCAATTGTGTCTCGTATCTTTAGTTATAGAAATAAAGATTTTGAGTAAAAATCAAACCAGGTGAAAAGTATGCTGGAGATAAGGGTTGAATGCCTAATCACTGGAAAAAACGTCTCACTGGACTTCAGACAACCCGGTGCTATGTTTAATTATTATTGATACTACCACTTATTACATCCAAAGAGTTTAGTTTGTTCCAACAACAAATTACATTGAATTTCCAGGAAAGCTAGAATAATCAAATGAAAATGTTCTAAGCCGGCCAGGGTATCTTGTGTTGATGAATTATTACATTCTCAGTACTAAATTTCTAGAGATCAATTACAATGCGAAGGAGAATAATTGGCTTATTAACTCTTCTTTGAAGGATTTCAACGGAATACGCGCGTTATGCATTGCTGATGAAAATTGTTTACCTTGCGATGTTGAAGAGCAGCCTCTGATTCCTCGTCAGTTCGACAAACTTGAGCAGATTTCTTTCGCTGCGCAGAAATACAAAATGTTTATTTCCAGGGTACTTACTATAGCTTAATTAAAGAAGTTTTGTTGATCAAGCCTTAGAGTAGTTTTCTATTTACAAACCACGCTGTAAAATATTTTGTCTCGCTAGATCTTCAAAATATTAAGTCTCAGGTAAGTGGTGATTTCTCATTTCTAAGTCATAGAGATCTTTAAAATCTGTATCAACGGAATTAAACTTAAGTTTATTCTCGATCTTGCGATCAGGATTAAGCGGTTACCTTTCTCTTTCTGGTACCATTTTGCTCGCAGCTGTTTTCAGTCGAAGATCGAAAGTAGGGCTCGTAAAGTGCAAATAAAGTTTCTTTACACGACAACAACAACGGAGAAACTGATTCAGTAATACTCTTCTTGTGATCGATTAGAAATCCGCTTTCGCATCGGCCGATCACAGCCATTTTACAAGTAAAGTTTTTTTTATCCCAACAGAAAAATCTGTGTGAGTGCAAAAATATACTAGGCAATGTTTACTTAAACGTATAGGGCCTGGGTACAAGCCAGCTATTCTTCTGGAAGGGAGGAATAGAGAGATAATAGCTAGATTGCTTGTAATTTGAAAAGCCTACTAAGTCTTCTTTCTTATTTTTAGACAAGTCCAGCTGAAAGAAGACTTAAATTAAAACTAAAACGAACCTTTCTAGGTCCAAGGTTGAACCAACGAGTATTTTGGGGTACTATGGAAAAAATGGTAAATCAATTTTTCAAATAAATTAATTCGGCAAAATTAACGGTCTCGGATGTACCAGTGTTAAATTATTCAAAGTTAAGATTATCATAAATTAATTATTCATTCATCTTTTCATCTCACCTCAGTTCAGTGTGACATGTGGTCACGGACCTACTCGGCTTCACGTCTTCAAGCAGAAATCCAATTTCTTTCGCCCGTTCCTGCCTGAAAATGACTTCGAAATGGCTAGAAAGTTAATTCCAAGACACAAGAACACTCTGCTTCAGTTGAAGAAACAGTACATGGCGAAATTTAAGACATTTAGCAGACCAGAGCATGTCTTCACTTGGGGTAAGAAGAAGAAGAAGAACCGTTCCTCAACAGCTCACATCCTTTCTCGAAGGTACAAAAATGTTGTTGAAACAAATTTTGAAATGACTTTTGTAGACGAAATTTACTATTCTTTCTGCCTTATTGAACAGTGTTTACCGTATATACTTTTCACGCCACGCTCGACGCGTTTCCTAAGATTTCAAACGTTTTAAATTTAATTCAACTTGCCAAATTGGTTAGAAAGAAATTCGAATACTTTTGCTATATGCTTTGTCGTGTTCTTGCGCTTCAAACGAATGTCTTGGGTTATTGTATTGCTCACCGTTGGCAACTGACTTGTAGCAAGGTTTATTATGTGTTTGCTTTCAACCAGTTTAGCCTCGTTACAGAACAAAAATTTAGTTAACTTTATAAATTTGAGTTGGGAACATTTTAAAACGTATAGCAACATCTTTGTCATCAAACCGTTTCTTTTTTCTGTTTTTTTTTCCAGCTTTCTGATGCCTTGTGCTCGACCACTGCGCGGCTAAAGAAGTCCACGAGACCGCTGAAAGCCTTCTGTGTGACGTAAGGCTCCTTAGTCTTGTTCATAATTTGTTCTTGTTTAAAAACTTGGTGATAATGCAATCGTTTTTCTTTTTCGTAATCTACAGCATTGTAGAGATGGACGATAAGCTGGCCTGGGATAGCATGTGGACAGGCAACGAAAGCGATCTAAACGTGAGTGCTTCTGACTTCGAAGTTTGTTGTCCTAGCCGGCTATATCAGTCAAGCTTTCACAAGTTCAAAACTCTTAAGAACTTGCCGTTAATTTTCAAAATTGAAAAAAAAAACTATCCAGTTTTGAGCTCGATGTTGAAGTTTTAGCTTGAAAAGAATATTTGCATATAACGAGATGAACTCCGTTCAAGAGCACTGGCTTGTGCTGAATATTTCGATTGAATTTATCAGTGATGTTTTTATATTACAGGATAGCTGAAATGCGGAGCAAGGCTCACAGAGGCAAACACACAGAGGAAACCAAACAAACCCAGCAAAATGTGAGTTAAGCTGACTCCACGTTGTTTAGTTTAATTAGGTGTGAACTATTAAATTTTTGAAAGGTTACAATTGCCAAAAAAATACTGTACAAGAAAAAAGAGAGAGTGAAAAAATCTTACAACGCCAGCCAAGCAGCTGAACAAATCCATGAGCTTGCTGACAGCCCTCTGTGTGGAGTAAGGTTCCTCAAATTGTTCATGCTGATAAATTGTTCTTGTTGAAAAACTTGGTGATGAATCATTTTTCTAATCTACAGGATTGAAAGGATGGACGACCTGGGATAGCATGTGGACAAGAGAAAAAAAAAACAATCTAAATGTAAGTGCTGCCGACTTGAAATTTTGTTGTCCCAGTTATATCAAATGTTTGCAATTATAAAACTCTAAAAAATCAAGGTACCGATTTTAATAATCGGAAAAAGAACTGTCCAGTTGAAGGCTTGATATTGAAGTTTTAAGCTTGCTGTACGACAAAGCTAGCACAACAGCAGTACTTTTTTGGTGGTACTAATATTCATTAATGGAATAATACTTGTATTTTATGTTACAGGATAGCTGGAATGAGGAGCAAGATTCACAGAAGGAAACCAAAAGAACCCAGAAAAATGTAAGTTAAGCTGACTTCATCAATCAATCAACTAATCAATCAATCAATCAATCGCTTTATTAACGTGGTCAGTACGCTCAGATGGTGGAAGCTAGTTTCCAGGTACGCCACGAAATAATAAAAATAAGAATGTTGTGCAGTTTTAATTAGGCATGAATTGTTCAATTTTTGAAGAGGGGCAATTACCAAAACAATCTTGCAACAAAGAGAAACAGAAACAAATCTTGCAACGCGAGACAACTAAAAAAAGCATCGAAAAAAACTCTTGGACAATCTGAAAACGCAAAAATTCTCACTGAGAGCGTTTTTCACCCCCTACCTTCAAAATATTTTGATTATCTCTAGTCTAACAAGTTTAATGAAGCTCTTTAAAACGTCAGCTTTCGTTTTTCATTGTAATGTGAAACAACGTATATTGATCAAAGTATTTTTCAATTTGTAGGATTGCAAGGATGGACCGGAACAAAAACTTGGAATGGAAAACACATGGAGCAAGCAAAGGAACTCTGCAAAATGTAAGTAACTCATTTTTTGGATTTTGTTATATTAAGGGTGTCAATCTGCTGCAACGAGGCGACTCCAAATAAGCGTTCAACGGTCCTGTACACGCATCAAATATTTTGGTACATTTTGTCACCGTCTTCTGCAAAACCACTAATTAACATGATCAAATGCTATATTTATTACAGAAGTCAAACACAATAGTCTAGATATGTCAAAAAGAAAAGAAAAATGACAATTCTTATTTCTAAAGGAATCTGCAGTTTTGTATCTCCAACGGACCTTTGCATTTTGGACTGCAAATGTTGGCGAAAAAATGCGAACAGAAAAAAAACAGTTGAAACAGGAAAAATAGGTCGTTTGAATAAAGCAACAATCGATTGTGTGATCAATCATGAATAGGTTTTTTTCAATTTTTGTTCCTATAGTGTAGTCAATGAAATTCGTGACCGAGAATTGAAGTTAAAAGAATGTCAACGTTTTTAACTTTAAACGCAACTCGTGCGACGCAAAAGGGAACTTTTTAATCTTAAAATGGCAATTGTTCAACCTGGAACGAGATTCTATAAACTGACAATGAAACCATTTAAATTCCAACTCGAACGTTTTCAACTTGAAAGGAAATTTGCTGCTAAAAATTCGACGTTTTGAACTCGAAAATGGAATGAACGAGTTTATAAGCAAAAATGGAACTTGGTCCATTCATAATACAACTCCTTTCAAATCACAAGAAAACGTTTTCAACTTTTTAAACGCGTAGTACTTTTTCAACCCATAAGGAACTATTGATATTAAAAGTGGAAATTTTGTATATGAAAGACAGAACCTTTTTAAAATGACAATGAACTTTTTCAATATAAATAAAACTTCTTCAAGTCGAAATGATGTCGTGCAAACTAAAGTGGAACTTTTTCCTTTCAAATAGACGTTATAAAACTGGATGTTTACATGGTGGACTAAACCTGGACTTACTACAATTAACTTAAAATGGTTTTTAAACCAAAATTGAAACTTTTACATCACATGCAGTAGTTTCATGTGATGTAAAAGACATGGAACTGCTATTTCAATTGAAACTGAACTCCTTCAACTCTGAAGGGTATTTTTTTAACTAACTGTTTAACTAGTTCGAGTAGGCAACCTTTTCAATGAAGAATGAAATATTGCAAAATGGACAGTAACTTTTCAAATCAGCATGGAACGCCTTGAATTAAAATGAAACTTGTTCAACTCCAGATGAGACTTTTCCAAGGAAAAAATACTTTTTTCTTCTCCGGCTAGATCCTTCTGCAGTAAGCATGAAACTTTTTCAACTGAAAATGAAACTTTTGCAGCGAAAAAGAATTTTTTCAACTCAAAAGTGATCCTTTTAGTTCGCATGGGCCTTTTTCCCTGAACATGGAACTTTGCCAAGCAAACATCCTTTCTTCATGTCAGAAGAGATTCTTTTCAAGTAAACATGAAATTTTTTGAACTGAAAATGTAACTTTTCTAAGCATTTTAAGTAAGCATGGAACTATTTCAACTGAAAATGCAACTTTTCCTAGAGAAAAAAACTTTTTTCATCTCCGAAGAGATACTTTTCAAATAAGCGTGGAACCCTTTAATCCGAAAATGAAACGATTCTATTTAAACAAAGCACTTTTTCATCTCGTAAGAGAAACTTTTAAGCACGCATGAAAACTTTCAACTGGAAATGAAACGTTTCCAAGAAAAAAATACTTTTTTATCTTTTAAGAGATCCGTTTACGTAAGCACGGAACTCTTTAATCTGAATTAGAAACATTTCCAAACTAAACTACTTTTTATCTCAGAAGACATCCTTTTAAGTAACCTTGGAACTTTTTCAACTGAAAATGCAATTTTTCTGAGCAAAAATACTATTGTGGTATCAGAACGAAAAGGTTAAAAACATTAACATATTTTAAACATTAAACTATTTTAACTGAAATAGAAACTTTCCAGGCCAAATCCTTTTTTTCATCTCAGACTAGATCCTTTTATGTACAGATGGAACTTTTTGAACTAAAAATTACTCTTTTCCAAGCAAAAATACTTTCTTCATCTCAGAAGAGATTCTTTTAAGTAAGCACGGAACTTTTTTCAACTGTTTCGAAAACGTTTCCGAGCAAAAAATCCTTTTTTCATCACAGAAGAGATTCTCTTTAAGTAAGGAAGGATTTTTTCAACTGAAAATGGAACTTTTTCAACTCAAACAAGATCCTCTTAAACTAAACACGGATTGTTTCAATGCAAATTGAATGTTTTCCAAAGAAAATTTTTTTCAACTCAAAAGAGATCCTATTTAGTATACATGGAACTTTTTAGACTGAAACGGAACTTTTTTCAA